TTGTATGAGGGGCAATGAAGTGTCCGTTGGGCAATTTCAAGCCTAAGGCAGACAGCCTCCTGGAGACCATTTTGCTGCGATGGTGTGGTGTAAGGGAAGATAATTCTGAAAAAGATGCTGTTGCAGGTGTCCAACACATTTTTCACACACCATGTAATGCCGGCACCGCACGGCCTGGAGACTGCAACGCAGGGCTTCGAGGCTGTTGCTATGATTTGCGAGCGCGCGTGTTCAAGACCATATTACGTAGTTATCCATCAGCAACCAGTTCTGACCGGATCTTAAGCATTTTAAGGCGATCATGGGTAGCGATGCTAATACGAATTAGGAACCCCATTTCATCCACGATCTAAGGTCAGGGAGAACTCAATATCTCTGAAGAACACAGAAAAATATGAAACATAATTATATGTAACAATTATTGGACTCCTGCGGTGATCAAGGATGTTGTTGCGTCAATGAGGATTCCTGTACTGATCCGGTGCTAACTGCGCGGATCAGAAGGCCTCCCGTATCAGGGATGGGAACAATGTGATATGATATATCCTTCTAATGGTCTCTGGATCGACTGGGAAATCCCGCCTTGTGCCACCAGAATGATAGCCAGAAGGCGCTTCGTGATAGGACGGAATGGCCCTTCAGCCCTTGACCGGAAACGGTACGTACCCCTGGTGTTCTACTTAGGAGGCCCCTTGCTCGGAAGGAAAAAAGTGGTATCATTATTGTTGAGTAAATGGGAGTCTCATTGTTGTTGAATAAGGTGTGTCGAAATGAGATTAAGAAAATGAGTGAGGCCATGGCATGTTCGACTGAGAACGTTCATTTTTTCAGAATGTATTGTTGAAGCAAATTACATCAAAAGTCTTGAACAAGCCCGCCCGCAACCTCGAGAGCAAAAACAAGGATGATCTGGGTTGCGACTTCCGTAAAACCGAAAAGTTTCGGTCACTGAAAGTGCCACCAGACAGCGGGTGCCGTGTTAATCTGTCTCCTGGATATACAAATAGCTGCAAAAATGTGAAAAATAGAGATTCTACCTTTACTCTTCCAGCTTAATCGACAGATTTCAGTCCCACTTCGCGGTGTCTAAGGGCTAATCCGTTCTTTTCATTTGTCTAAAAACTGCACACTTTAAGCCTTCAGGCTGCCTTCTAAATGTAAGGTCTGATGTCATGAGGCGTTCAAGCATACGCTTTCAGAAGCGTTGTCATTTTCGTCCACCAGTTGACCACAACTTAGTATTAGCTGCTAGGCCGACGCTGAGCGGCCTACGGAGACTGCAACGTCTGGGGTCGAGGGTTGTGTTTATAAGATTTTCTAAAGCGCATGCTCAAAATTGCGCCACAGAACTTGTATTATTCGTCGACTTAAGTGTTTAAAGGCAACAATTTCAGAAGCGTGATCATTTCCGTCCTCCGGTGGGCCGCCACTAAGAGCAACTGGGCTAACGCTCGGCGGACGACGGAGACTGCAACGCCAAGTGTCGAGGTTTTTGTTGCTAAGATTTGTGAGCGAGCATGCTAAAAAAACGCGTTACATAAATTGCATCACTGATCGATTCTGACTGAATGGTGAACATTTGTAGTCAAACATGGCGTAGCCATGTTAGTACGCATTGTTGACCACTCGATCTGCAATAAAATTTTCATCTTCAAGTTTGGATCAAACATATCGATTTACAATCTGCCTTCGCGATGTCCTCAATGTCAGGAGAACTGAGATAACAAATTCGGACAAAGCTTCTGAATTCCACCCGTTTAGACGGAGTCGATTAACTATTGTAAATTAAGTGCACCGGAGCTTCCCGGAGGCTATTTTTCTGCGATGGTGTGGTGTAAGGGAAGATAATTCGGAAAAAGGCACTATTGCAGCTGTCCAACACATGTTTTATATACCATACAGAAGTAACGCTGATCCAGAAGTATGCAACAAGGCAGCCATACTATCAGTTCGTAATCAGTCATGCGGGAGACATCCGGGCCAGGGCGTGGCCACCAATGGCGGACAGGAGCAGGGCCCAGATAGGAACATGTGACAGATGGGCCCTATTACGTGGCTTGGTTCTTTTTATGACTCATGAAAATCAAAAGTTTTACGATTTTTGTCACGTTGCTTCCGGCAGTTTCAAGCTCCAGATTTTGTTCCGCCTAAAAGCTGCGACAAGCCGTATCTCTTGAAAAGCAGTCACCGAAATGAAGGCTCATGAAAAATCTGTCGCACTGTAAACCATCGATCTCCTTTCAAAATTATTACCAGCCTATATCCAGGCCGTCTTTTGGCATCGGCGCTGTGGAGACAAATGTTTCCTCAATGACCCGAAATGCTTACCCGCTCGTGGAATTTCGCCTCCCCGTGAAAGACAATGTCAAAATTGACGAATAATCTTGGGAAGCTTGATAGCCTTATTTGCCAAATGAAAGATGAGGCGAATAAGCAAGACTGTGCACCAGTGAGAAGCAGCTCTAGATGCAAATCTAGCATAGCGGTCATGACATTTGAATAAAGAGCGATAACAACCTTCATTCCTCCCCCCCCCCCCCACAGTCATATGACTCGCTTTCCAGAAAAAAGTTCCTGAAGTACACCGCCAGCTTTCCGCTCTCCAGTTTTTAAAATGCTCCTACGCCTATGATCCTGGCAAAATAAAATACAACACTCCACTTCTCTGTCATAAAAAACAAACGTTTCGCTTAACTAGCCTCATAGTTTGACGTCGTTATTGTGACCGCAGGAAGACATAACTTAAGTCGGCTTTCATGCAAGTGCTCCATGTAAGTGGCCCCACCTTAAGGTTTCTCGTACAAGTACTCCGAGAGAGTGCATGTGTTGTGCATTTCTGCACTGCTATTCGACATAGCTGCACTCATTATTATCAAGCTTTGTAAACGACCTTCTTCTGTCCTTTCAGTGCCAAAAACTTGTACATGAATAATCATCCACACTCAGAACGTGGGGCAGTGGTGTGAGGTAGTGAATATCGCCATTTTCAGGGGCCATCCTGTGCAACACACCGCGCTATGTTGCCTCTCGCGACAAAACGGAATAGGTACCAGGAAAATTGTTTCAGCGGGAGAGACTGCAACGACGGCAGGAAAAACTGCGCTGACAACGGCAGCAACGCGCAGCGTCCGTTGAATGTGATTATGAACAGTGGTTATCGCATAGGGCATGGTAACGGAAAAGTGTATGTTTTGTGCAATGGTGCTCTTGCCAGGGCAATCTTAGTTAAATACATGGTGAACAAACCCTGACCTGGCTTATTTTTTGACGACATGAAAGCAGTCTTCCTGGAATTACAGTGGTCCATCAGTCAGATGGAATTTGAAAGGGCAGACCTGTGAAGCCCAACTAGAGTCTATCTGAAGTGGTTAAAAAGGTCCCACCTGAGCTTGTCATATGGGTCGCATCTGGGCTGGTTACCTGGGTCCCAGCTGGACATACCCATGTGGGCCCCGGCTGAATATGCCCACGTAGGTCCCAAATGGGTAACCCAGGTGGGCCCCAGGTGGGCTGCCCATGTGGGAACCAGTTGGCCATGCTTTCGCGGGTCCCAACTGGGCAGCCTAGGTGGGTCCCATGTGGGCTCCAGTTTGGCTCCATTTGGGTGCTAGGTGGGCTGGCCATGTGGGATCCAGTTGGTTGTCCATGACATGCCCACATGGGGCCGAAGTGGGCAGCCCTGATGGGCCCTATATGACTGCCCATCTCGGACTCTTATGGGTTCCAGTTGGACATGCTGGCTGCGGAGAAGGTATTCTGACCGCAGAGGATACGGGTCATATCGGGGGTCCTTTTGCTTTTGGGGTCCTTTTACTATCAGGGGGCCCTTTGTCAACTTTGTCCCCCCTTACCATGGCTCTGGCTATGCCCCTGGCTATATGTAAGGTGTCAGAGAACACCTATGTGCTAGCCAGTGAATGTTTGCGTGGTTTGGCGAGCGTCGCTTAGAGGCGCTCGCGTTCCCCTCCTCCCGCCCCAGGCGTCCCGTGCGAGGGACGCGGCCGCGGGGCCAGGAGAGGAGGCGGTAACAAGGGGAAGATCCTGAGAGCCGCCGGAGTGAGGAAGGGCGCGCCAGCGGAACGAACTGTAGGGAGTGCCTGTGACGAGTGCCAAATACAGAAGTGACTTTGGACGTACCGTGTGTACCAGTGAGCAATAGGTGAGACACCGGAACAGCAGAACTTACAGATACACAGAGTGCAGGAAGCATGTCCCAAAGAAGAATTCTGAGGCCATTGATTTGCCACAGCAGGAGACTGACCAAACCGGTCGGTTTCGACCCGACTCAGTTTGATTCGGCGAACTTCTGAACGGCTTGGAGGCAGCAGACAACAAAAGACTGCTAAGGAGGCATGTATATAATGACGACAAAACGGTATTCTCACACCACACACATTGATGAGCTACTCACCACCACGTGTTCCATGGTCACGGTTCTGTTAAGCGCAGCGACACAGGCACACCTTAGCGCGTGATTTCAGTACGCCTGAATAAGCCGAACGTTTTCTTGGGAATAAACAGAAGCGAAGGGGACGATTGCGAATGGCACCACATTTGCAGCTGCAAGAAAGTATCAGGGTAAAGTAAATGCCGTGCTAGATGGTAATGTTTTGCAGCTATCGGTGTGATAGATTTTGACCCGTGAGTTGTCTACAAGCAATAATTTTGGCATTTATGAAGTTTGACGACCTTTGACCTGACCTAGGGTCACCACTTTTTTTTACTGTGAAAGGGGATCAGGTACGGTGCATTCAATGGTGATGGTTTGGCAACGTTCAGTTCGGCGGGTTCTGTGCTACGAGTTGTCTGCAAGCAGGGATTTTGGTATTTGTGAAATTTGACGACTTTTGACTTGACCTTGAATCACCAAGTAGGTAATATCAAGAAGGAATTAGGCGTCGCGCATCCAATGAGGAAGGTTTCACAGCGATCGGTGAGGTAGGCTCTGAGATTTGAGCTGTCTGCATTCGCATGTAATATTTTCGCGTTCCGTTCACGAAGTGTCTGACCTCAGGGCAGGTCTCAAAAATTGCGTCCTCTAGGAATTACCTCATTGCACAGAATTGACTTGTAAAGTTTTCAAGGCGATCAAACGAGCCGTTTTGGAGAACGTGCGTGTCTGCTTCAAATACTAGTTTTTTAGACCCTAAGGTCTGTACGCCCTAATCCTCAACGCGGCACCCTCCACGACAGCTTATGCGGCCTTCGTAGGCCTTGAGCAGAAGCTGTGTTGTGTATCGCCGTGGAGTGCCAGGCAGCAGGCTATTAAGGGACCTTTATGTAATGAAGGCAGGACGTTGTGAAACACTTGTGTGCTTTTGACCGTTTGATCTCATGTAGTTAGAACTGTAATGAGCCCGTGTCACTATCGGTGCGATCCAGGCTGCAAAATAGCATGTTGCGCGAGGCATGCCTGGCGTGGCAGCATAGCAGCTGTAAAAGTTTATGCGGACGTCCGTCGTAAATCTGGGTGCCTAGGGCTGTGAGCAATGTCAAGGGTGTGTACCAAAAATTGTGGAAACAGTTTTTGATTCATCGCCATTTTCAATACATGAAGAGGGTGTTGGCTTCACACCAATTTCGGCGCATAGAATGCCAATGTTTCAGCGAATTATGATGCTGGAAAGGTTATGTGGAATCACTTTGAAAAAGTACCATCCCAAACTTGATTGGGACCAGTGCAAGTTGACCTGACCGGAGTGGTGCACACAAGCTCAAGTTTCAGCACTCCAAAGTTGAGGTTCAGAGCATGGAAGCTGCGCAGGCATCTGACACAGCTAATGTATTTTTCAGTCAGTGATGCAATAGCAAATGCAAATGTTTTATTCATTATATGATAATGCACATTTTATATTTTCACAGGACACTGCAGAATAATGAGAATAACAACAGTATTATCCTCAAGACTCTTTCTGCTGGTTGTTATTGGTGTGCTCTTGATGTGCATTGGGCTACTATGGCCAGGAATCCATGAAGGTAAAATGTTTAATATTGCAAATAAATATAAATATTGTGTTGTCAATGATTATTGCCAAGAGCCATGTGGAACAATTTTTTAGGGCTGGATAATAAAAATGTTGTAACTTAATGCAGCTATATTGCAATGAATTGGTTAGAGGGGGATGAGTTAGTATTAATTGGTTTAAATATGTCTCTTTTGAATGAATGGGATTGCATTAAATGTAATGCTTAGCATTTCAGAAGAATCAGTTGTGTTGCTAGGAGCATTGGTAGAACTATCAGTCATGATATTGATGTGGATGGCTAGAAGCACCCCTGACATCAAGGTTTGCATCCATCTATTCATATAAAGTGAAATCAGTTGACTCATTATTTAGCTGCAGTGAAATATTACTGATGGACAAGACTGGGATTTGATGTAAGACTGATTGAAGCAAGATACTCATATCACAGATGAAGTAATTTCCCATTTTCTCAGCTGGTGTAAAAGTGTGTATATTAGCACCCTAGACATGGACAATAGTCTAGGCAATGGTTCCATCCCTGAGTTATGTGCTCTTTCTAAACACCTCTGCATTCTCTTCATGTTTACATTAATGAGCATGTTCTCTTGCAGCAGTGCCATGCACAGCACCAGAGGTGGAGTCTGATTTGATGGCCAAGCGACTGGTGGCACCACCACCCGCCCCCTGCTCTGGAACAGTGACAGTACAGCCTGAGCCGGACACCACCAACTGGGGCAACCACACGCTTGGTGTAGTGGTACCCTTTCGTGACCGTTTTGAGGAGATGCTCATCTTTGTGCCTTACATGCACCGCTTCTTGAACCACCAGAAGGTCAAGCATCGCATCTACATTGTCAACCAGGTGATGTATTACAAGCTAGTGATTTACTGACTGCTTTCAGCTGTTCATTTGTACTGATAGACTGTTGATGTTGATTATTTGTTGGCCTGCCAATAACCTGCCTGGTCACTGAGATCTGCCCTGTTGACTCTGTCAGCAGCCCCGATCACTCACTTACATATAAGGCCTGCACTGTCGACTTGGTCGGCGGCCCGGACCACCCGCTCGCGTGTGAGGCCTGTCCTGTCGACTCCTTCGGCGGCCCTGCACACATACTAACATTACCACCACACCGCCAGATCGATGCGTACCGTTTCAACCGCGCCTCCCTGATCAACGTGGGCTACCTGCGTGCGCGCGAGCAGTGCGACTACTTCGCCATGCATGATGTGGACCTTCTTCCGCTGAACCGCAACCTGTCGTATGGTTTCCCGGGCCAGAAGCTATTCCACGTGTCTTCGCCCGAGTACCACCCTCGTTACCACTACCCGAAGTTCATCGGTGGTATTCTCATCATCACGATGTGAGTGGCCCGACGCCGTGTCCAGGTAGTCATTGAGATGTTTGAGAGGCTCGGGAGGTGGGGCGATGGGTGGCACGACTTGTATTCAGCTTTGGAAATGGGCTGATGTCTTAGTATTTGGAGTTAGACTGTCTCATAAGGGACAACATTTTACTGTAAGTGTTCATAGCTAGGGGCCTGCTCGTTGGGCTTTGTAAATGTATCTGGATGACATGCCATGGTGTACCGAATTCAATTTTAGCGTGATTGAAGAGGGAAGGTGGGTCATAGAGGGAGGGATAGCTTTAGAATCCAAGGCTTCCTGGCTTTTTAGTGACTAATAATGTTTTGGAAGACCCCTGCCATTGTGAGCATTGTAATATTTGAATCCGCACCGAAAATGCTTATACGCGCAGAAAGCCTGGTGTAGTAAGTTACGTGAGATCGAAAAAATCGTACTTAATATCATTTTGCTTACATGTACTGCATCCTGTCTTTTTTCTCTGGCAGGGAGCACTTCGCCAAGGTGAATGGCATGAGCAACAACTACTGGGGCTGGGGCCTGGAGGATGATGAGTTCTACACGCGGGTCCGCGCCGCTGGTCTGGAGATCGCCCGGCCCACCAACCTCACTACCACTGTCAAAGACACGTTCAGGTCTGTCCAGAAGGGGGCGCAAATAGAAGCCTCCAGGGCACGTCCCCCTCCCGCACGAAATTAATGCTATGCACTGATGTACGCCCGACGACATGCAAAGAGAGGTTTTTAGTGGAACATGTCTGCAGATGCCCCGCCTCCACTCATTGTGATACCCTGCTTACGACTCCGGGTCTGTCGACCCTGGCGTCGGAAGTCCCGCTCGGTTGTTCGGAACCTGCTCACTGCTCTCAAAAGTGCCACGAACCGGGCCCAAGGTACCAGGCCGTGGACGAATCTTGTTCGTGCTATGTGATCACCTGTCACGGCCATCCCGTAGCGCATCGGCCCCATGGCCATTTTCCAGCAGACCCTTTTGCATTGGTCAGGCCATGCAATGCTCATGCCATGCGACCCATGCCGAGTGGCGCTGGAGCACGGGTCCGGCATCTTTCCTGGGTGAAGGAGGCCGCAAAGTGTCATCCGTGACGTTCTCAATGAAGATTTCACAGCTGGTTACTTTGAGCTTCTCGACACCAGGTAGTCCCCTATCTCTTGATGCATTGCTTGACACGTGAACGGTGTGTCTGGCAATGTGCAGTTTGTCTCTTTTTGAGTGTACCCGCTCCTCCCAGGCACATTCACGACCGACGGGTGCGCAAGCGAGACATGGAGAAGTGCTTCAACCAGGCGGCCGTCACCCACAAACGGGACCGGATCACGGGAGCCGACAGCGTCGACTACAAAATACTCAAGGCTAACCAGCTGACAATAGACGGGGCGGACGTCGAGGTGCTGAACGTGCGCCTTCAGTGTGACCACACGCGGACGCCGTGGTGCGACTGCTCGGGCCAGGCGAGCGACCAGGCCTCCGCCAAGGCGACCGCGGCGGCCTCCAAAGCCGGCCACGCCAAGACGTCGGCCGGCCGTGCGGCGGCGGACGCCAAAGCCGGGGAGTCGCCGGCGGCGGCGTGAGCTCTTCTGTTCTGGCGGTTACGGTGAAATTATAGGAAATGGTCGGTATGCTCAGTAGTTGAGTTGTGAGACAGATTCAGGGATGCCGGATCTTCCAGTCATCGATTTGAGATTGAACTGTGTCACGACTCCGTACTGCTGGACGAAGACGCGATTAACGTGTTCCAGTAGCAGCACAGGTGTTTGCGATTATTTTAATGAAGCTTTCCGATTACCACGTTATTGCAGGATATTGTACTTGCGAGAAGATAGGTGACCTTTAAGCCCTAACAAGCTGACACTGACACGGACAGATCAGAAGTCTGGTTGGGGACACGGTTTCTTGGCGTTGGCCGGTCCATCGTGGGCCGGCGCTGGACTGGAGCCCATCGCTAGCAGTGGTCGGCATAGGGCGGCGAGTCGCCTCCTCTTGCCTCGTCCTGTCTTCCCTATACCCATGTAATGATTGCAAACGCTGAAAACCCGTGCCCCGAACTAGACTTCTGATTGTCACTTATCCACCAGCCTACAAGTTTTCGGCAGCAAACAGGCAAAACATGGCTTAAAAGGTCATCTACTCACGTGGTTTTAATGCCACTGATGCGAGAAACTGCTGTTCTGGGCGGACCGCGCATGTGCAAGTGTGCCCGTGCCGGCGTATGGTGTAATGGACGGACGGTCAAGTAACTTCTACTTCTACAGCTCCTAAGAACGTATTTCAGAGGTCTGCTGTCTGCTTTGAAATCGCGTAATTTGGCTGTGAATCGATGGATGTAAAGAGCGGATGAGATCACATGAGTTGACGGGATGAAATCGGGCCATTTAGTCGTGTGCGTGATCGGACTCGGCCTCGTGGCAGTGCGCCATGACAACCGGTTCGTCCGTGCCAGTCGTCCGCCCATCCACCATCCAGCTGGCCAGTAGTCTGCACATGCTCAACCTGATGTAGCTGTCCGTGACGGACACTGACAGTGGTCGCATGTACTTTGAACGTGGACGAATTAGTCGTGTGTTTCCGGTGGTGGCATCCTGACTTAATATCTCGTTCGGTGCTTGATTTCTTTCTGGTTACTGCCGCGAGTTGCTGCAATTTTTACTTGCTTTGACATATGTACTCCGTCAATTTGTATTATTGGTGGTGTCGTCTTTTGGCACAATGACCTTTTTGTTCAGGACATTGTGATGTTAAAGACTTGTGCGGGTTTTGTAAACTTTTCTGTTCATATTGCAGTTTCATCAAATGGAGTGTCATATTCACGCTCGCAAAAGCAAATGTGATTGAAGCGCCCTAAAGCCACGGACCCACGCTGTTCCAAATTGCGCGCAAAAGACATCGAAAACCGACATACATACATATATATATATATATATATATATATATATATATATATATATATATGTATATGCATGTATGTGTGTGTGTGTGTGTGTCGGTCTCTCCTCGTCTCTATGACTGCCTGTCCGTCTTTGTCCGTCCATCTTCTGTTGCTGTCTCTGTTACTATACTCGCCTCAATCTCTGTTGTCGAAAGCCGACCCATTCCCGGTGTGTGCGTGGATGAGCCTGCTTAGTCCGTGGTTTCACAGTTTTTTGCTCTTAAAACGTGGCTTAGGTTCATGCATTGGCATTGTGGAGAACTCTGGAGCACTGTTCTTCCCTGAGAGAGAATGGGCAATGAGGAGATTTCGCGCTCGTCCTAACAATCGACGAGTTTGTTTTGTAATATTTTTCCCAACGCTTTATCAATGTGTTACATCCACTTGCCGTATTGTTTAAAGCATTATATGCTCCCTTGCTGAATGCAATAACGGTGGATTTCATGGATGCATAGGTCAGTAGGATAGGTTGTTATCAACTGCGTTGTACTCTATGGTTCATGACTGCATTAGGTGGTGGGTTTTCATGCTGTAGCAGGGTATGAGACGTTATTACGTAATTTGTTCAAATGTGTGGTGGTAGCCAATGATCACTCCCTCTTTTGTGATAAGCGTGTGGTTTTCTGGCCTGTACTCGCGGTCATATTTTCGATACAGTTCTCAGATCACGACCGCCATTTTGTTTGCGCCTTTCCGTGAATGCGTACAGCGCGGTGCTGGCTCGCCAGGCCCGATGTACCGGTGCGCCGCTCATGCCTGAACGACGGATATAGTGGTGTCTCGTCGCATGTTCCTGTGGCGTTGGGTGGCGGCCGACCTGGTCCTGCACCGCTCGGCCGTCTGTCAGGTTAGGCGCGGGTGGCGTCGGCTCCGTCCGACGCGCCGGGCTGCCATCGGCAGCCCTGCCAGGCGCTGCTTCCAATGGCAAACCTTGCCCAAATACATAGTGAAAACTTGCTGGACTGATGTTTTAAGATGTTGCTGGAGGATGTGATCGGACCAAGATGGTTGACAGAAAATCAAGTACCGTCGACCACTTACTTTCGGGAACTTTAATATGCGCCACGCGTCCATTTGATTGACTGTTGCATCCGCAAGCCACCGGCCGCCAGGTCGCCACGGCAGAATATCGGCGATGCTGCATGTATCTAGAGAACTAGGCCCACTCGGAACTGGGAAGGGCGTTTAAAATGTGGTCCATAGTTGGCTGCGTACACTGTAAATGCTGGTTGAAGTTCGAAACCTTAATAACTGATAAGCTGGAAACTGTCTGCCATAATTGTTTGCTAGCGCGAATTGATCAAACTGTGTGGAATCGTATTCAGAAGCCATCTAAACCGATTGGTGTTGGTTTTACATGCGTGCAAGGCTGAGTTTGTTGTGGTCACGTGACGGCACTTCTAGCATAAATTGCTGAATGCATTGAGTTGTAGGTTTTTCATCCATTCTTGGATAATAAATATAAAAAGACTTGAATATGAAGGCATGCTTAAGTTCACCGGGGCGTACTTCATTGATTTCCTACATTGAATGTAACCTAAATAGTCTATTAAGACACATTAGTGCATGACGTTTGCACCCTTGCGTAGCACTGGAAATGAAAAAAAGGGAATGTTTCTCATTCGAAGATATTTAAATAAACATCAGGCACGATGAAACAAGCTCATAACTATTGGTGTACTTTGAAGTATAAAAAAATTATTTAGACCCCACAATTTCTGTTTCGTAAATATACTCCCCGATGGGTCAGTGTTTGATTAGGCCATTGCATCCTGCACAGGATCGATTAAGAATCAATTGACTCCTGTTATAACTGGAACAGCTGGATCTGGCATTGAATGTTATAACTGGAATCGTTCTCATGAACGCCAGATATCAACGACTCGATCATTATCTTTTTCTCGCCCTTGATCGCCGCATGGCTTATTAAATAACGGTTTGAATGACTTGATTATTACGTCATGAATACTGAGGTGACCTTGGAATGATTTCCCGAAACATGCGTCCTATTTTCCCGGGCGCGTAGCTCCGAAACTAGAGGTGTTTAGGTCTTAAAAGGGGGCAGCGTTGTGAATTGCACCGAAAGGTCTTTAAGATGGCTGTTTCAGTTCAAAACCCCGTACATATGTGGAACATTCTCTTCAACCGATTAGTTGTCCATTTAGTCTTTTCAGTCACTGGAGGTGCGAAGTGCTGGCTCTGGCAGTAAGTCGTTTTCAGCCGCTCGGTCCGTACAAAGGAGCGTCCCTGTGGAAGGGGTGGAACTTCTTCCATCCCGCCTGTGAGTTCAACATGTATTTTGTTTACATGTGTGTGTGTGTGCGTTATGCTTCATCATGTGTCATGTCATGTTTATGTCCAGCTTTATCGCATAGAGAGCTAAAACTTGATATGCGTCATGACACAAATATCGCAAGACCGTAGATATTCAGCTTTTGTTACGTGCCCCAGTATTTCTAGTTCTAATTAGCCAGTTATACATGCATCAAGCACGTTCACCGTAAAATGAGTACCAAAAAAGCGTTCTTGCAGGAACAAGTGCTGTCCACTGAGTAGTGACATCACTTACCTGCTTGTTTTAGAGTATTTGCCAGTGTACGGACACCGGAACGATGCGGGCTGGTAAACACATACCTCTCGGCATGCGATGCCGCCTGGTCCAAGATTTATTTGTGGGGTGCAAGATTTGTAAGTGAATGACATTTTGCGGACATGCTCTGCGGCATGCGCGAAAGCAGCTTTAAGCGGCGTCTGAGTCAAATCGCATCTGTAGATAAAAACCACGTGGAGAAAGGTTGTACATAATCGCGTGTGAAACAGTTTAAGTCTCAGAAAAAGGATTATCACAGATAGTTCGGCGGCTATTTGGCTTTGGTGACGCCCCTTCCCCCCCCCCCCCCCCCGCCATTCTGTTGTTACAGAGATCAGCAACGACTGTGGCAGATAACGCCATGAAATTACTACGTAAAGACCCTTATTGTTTTTGCGAGAACGCTTCTACCAATCATCCTTCCAAATGGTACACATTAAAGACAGCGTTGTTGATGCCGAATGTGTCTGGATGGCACGTCAATACGACAAATTAAGACTATACCATAAATTAAAAGAAAGTATTCGTTTAACGGTGGCGATCGACGATAAACATTTTCATTTTTCACGTGGCGATCATTTTTCAACCTGATGGTTTCGGCAGTGTTTGTAGAGGAGCCTTGCTTTGCTACATGCGAATATGAAAGCAGCTTTATGTGACGTCTGAGTTAAATCGCATCTGTAGATAAAAGCCACATTAACAAGGTTGTACATCATCACATATGAAACAGCACAGGTCTCAGAAAAAGGATTATCACCTTGTTCGGCGGCGATTCGGCCGTGGTGGCGCCCCCTCCCCCATCCTGCCGTTACATAGATGAACAACCACTGTGTCAGATAATGTAAGCATACATTTTCTTGCTTTCCACTTTGCGCGCCAGCCGTCCAGGATCGGTGAGGCTTCCCCAGCAGAGTGTGGGACGGCGAGCAAGTCGGCCATGGCCAGGAATTACCCCCCCCCCCCCCCGTCGCTCTCCGCCAAACCGAACACGGCCATTAGGCCGAGCGGGGCCTGAGAGCTGAACGAGACCCGCCCGACGCTCCGGCCGATCGGCCAGCATTGTTGACCGGGTCTGCGAGCAAAACAGTGTGTGTCGCCTAACCAGGTAGGGTAACCCGTCGCTCCCCCTCCCCTCCCCCCTCCCCCGGAACGGCCAAGGCGGTAGCCTCCCCTATCGAAATGGGACATGACGCCAAAAGGGAGAGCCTACCCTCCGCCGGCCGATGAAGATTAATGAACGCGAAAAAGCCAGATCACTGACGAAACATCATGCGCGCAGACGCGTCTGTCTGACATGAAGACATGTGCCGCTCCGCACCGAGAGCCCCGCCGCGTCGGCGCCGCTGTCACCAGCTGGCATCGGAAGCGTCACGCCACGTGGGAACTGGGCTGGAGAGGGACGCGCACGGCCCGCGCGAGGCGGCAGCGGGCGGGAATTGCACCGTCGCCGGCGACGCCACGCCCGAGATCTGGCCCAGGGGCAGGTTGCAGCAGCGCAGCACAGCAGCCCGGGAAGCAGCGCTGGCCGGCCCGGCATCACATTGGACGGAGGGGGCTTTGCGGCAAAACTATTGGTCCGTGCACGAAGGGGAGGGCGGGCCGACCTATTTGAAACAATCGCGGAAAAAAATACTGATGGTGCAAGAGGCCTACCAACGGAGTCTTTCAGGGGGAGTCGAGGAGAGTCCGGGGGAGGGGGTCCGGTGGAGGTCCGGGAGGCGCTGGAGGAGGAGGCGATGGAGAGTGAGGAGCTCGGTGACAACCTGGCGGTGACATCTGGCCCCACGGACAACGGAGCGCCGACGGCAACGCACACGGTGTAATTTCACAGGTTGTTGTTCCCATCCTTCCGGCCCACGGACGTCTGGCGCCCCCGTGTCCGTTCACTCCTCCCCAACGGACGGGCGCGGGCCACGGCCACCTGCGCCCTCCCGTGCAGTTAGGGAAGGGGGGGGGGGAGGGGCACTGGCCATGCGACCCTCCCGGTCGCGCAATGTGTCTCAGGCTCACTCCCATAGTTAACGGGGGGGGGGGGGGGGGCGGCGTGACGTGCCATGTGTTTCGTCCATGTCTTAGGATATTTTTGTAAATATAGGTGGCAGTCTGCGCTCCGAATGGTTTACCGTGGAAGCGAGGCTGGAAGTGATTCCGCCAGGCGGTGACAGGGCACTCGCGCCCGGCGGGGGTGGGCATGTTGTCCGCAGCCCATGACGCGCGCTTCGGCGTGACCGCCCGTTCGTTGGCCCGCACGGAAGCTACCTTGATTTTGCCGTCGGATTTTGCGGATTTTCACGCTACCCCTCAACCAATGATCTGCACAACAGCAGGACTGCAATCGTCGGACTACTCATGACCCGTGACCACAGCCAAGCCATATTGCTTGGGCGTGTCGTGCGCCGATGCTCATCAAAGAAGTCTGCCACGCTGGTGAAAGTTGATCCTGCCGGTTCTGAAGCAATTACAGCGCGTAATTACCCATTCTGCTAGCCATTCGCACCTTCGGCCGCGGGTCATGCTACGAGTATGTCGTAACGTGAGGGCGTTGAGGTTCAAGAACAATGCGAATTACGACAAGAATATGTCGATATTCGGCTGTTTCCATTACCGTCCTTAGAAATCGCCCGGCCCTTCCATAGCCTGCGATCATGGATCACCTCACTGCGAACAATTTCGATTCACCGTGGTTCCATGGAGTCTTCACCTCTAAACAATTAAATCGCAGCCCATTATCTGTTTTTGCAAGGTCATAAACAAGATCACATTCAATCCAGAAACTTAACTATTCGTCCTCCGTTGTCACAGCCCACTCTCCGTATTTATGCGTTCATTTACACATAGCCCAGGTACTTAAGGGGATCTTCCGCATTTGTGTGGGGGCTTTGAACTGAAATCGCGATCTTGAAGACCGTTCGGTGCAGTTCACAGCCCTGGCCTTCTTAAGACCCATAGCCTTCTTCTTTCCGAGCTACGCGGCCGCGAAAAAGTGCAAACTATTTCGGGGAGACTATGTCAAGGCCACCCAGACAGTCATGGCGCCAAAGTTTCATTCAAATGCTGACATTCCATTGGCCATGTGACGACCTAGGCCATGCAAATATAAGTGTCAAGTCGTTCATGTCTGTCGTTTGCGGGCACGATTTCCAAATATAACGGCCGTCAATTGGATCTCAATCAAAACTGTGCTAGGTGCGATGACGTAATCAAACAATGACGTATTGGGGAGCAAATATACTCTACAGAGAAATTGTATTGTCCAAAGCGGTCCAGAGCAGTCGAAAGCAGCAGCAGAGTCTTTTTCACTTAAAAGTATACTAATAGCTCTAAGTGAACCTAATTCATAGTATCTGTTGCTTGCATCAACATCTTTTGATGTGGAACATTCCCTTTAAATGGGTGTTCCCTATTCTGAGGGACGAAAAAACATTCTGAGGCTTCAGAGGGACGCGCCGAGGGAGGTGGCTTGCAAAGCTCACTCTAACAGGCCGGAGGCGAGGGCACTGAGGAGCCGGAGGTATCGTCTCCATATTAGACGGAGTGCCGCCGAAGGCATGTGCACAGCAGCGGGATTCTGCGAGCGGTGGGCGTGGCCGAAGGAGTGGTGGCCCGCCCCATCGCGGACGACGCGCGAGGGAGCGCCGTGCAAATAGGTGGTCGTCACCCGGGAGGTCAAGCGATGGTACGCATCGTCCAGCTTTGGTGCACCGGAGGCCACCCCAGTGGCCACCTTCCCGCCAGGCTGATAGCAAATTGACCTGATGCGCTTTGAATAAGGCTCAAACGGGGCTTTAATGGATGATTGAAGTCGATAGAATGGGATTTAATTCAATTCAGCCAAAGCTCGCGCAGCCGTGCCGATCATGATGTTGAGGCGTTGAGAGGGGAAGGGGAGGCAAGCGGGTGGGGGTGGGGTGGGGGTGAGAGCGGGTAGGTTTTACCCGTGTGCGAACCAGGAGTGAATGGGGTGATGTGGGCGCCAGCGAATGTGTGTGCTTGGAGTGAATGTGGTGGGGCACCGAAAGCGTGCAGTCTGTGTGGACGAGAGGTCTCCCAGGGTTGATATCCTGCGGGCTCCTTTGCAATGTAACTGGTCGCGTAGGGTTCCTGAAATTTGGGTGCACGTGCCATGGGATTCAGGATAGCTAAGTTTGCTCAATGCATTCGGTCCGTTCTTGCCTCGTTTCAATATCACCATCGGCTAAACAGTGGAGGTGGGGCGCCGTGATGAAATTGTATTTTCTAGACTATTTTTTAAAATTTCAAAGCAAACCGGTATCGTTACAAGGGAGCTTATTCCATCATATCTGACACTTGCTTCAATCTCTTCAAACACGGAACGTTCCCATTAACCCGTCTCTTTCGAATCTTTGGTCTTCCGACTTCTCCGATGGTTTCTTTAGCCCTATCGACTTTTATCCCTTTTGATTTTTGTCCATAGACATTTACGATTCGACTCTTCTTCATTCGGTTTTTTTCTCTTCTTTTGTTCGGGATCCTCCGCTGCAGCCGCTGCGCCGTCGGGCTCATCCGTGGGCTGCGGTCGCACGTCACGGAACATCGCACGGCCTCCGTACTTGATGCAACCTCAGAGACAAACCACGGTTTCGGGTTGTGGTATTCGTGTCAGTGTACTCCAATTCTCCATTCGTGGCACAAACCAAGGCCGCACCCATAAGCGGAAATAGAGCGGAAGAATTCACATGGAAATACACGAATTAATACGCCAATTAAATTCCAATAAGCGCATGCACTGCTGCTGTGAATCAGTCTCGGATGTCTTGCGAGCGGAGCACGACCGTTATTGAGTGAGTATATGAGAGAGCATATGAGTGTATTCATATCAGCGTGCTCCAATCCTCCACTTGTGGCACAAACCAAGGTCGTACCCATAAGCGGATAAACAGTCTCGGATGCCTTGCGAACGGAACAGGATCGTTTGTAGGAACCGTAAATCGCAAAGCACAAAGCACAGCATCCGTGGGCAAGCTTCAAGAACTTGGCTTTAACGTCAAGCCATTCTCAATAAGGGTCTGCCACAGAGCGATCACCGCCAGCCGAACTCTGACCGACAATAAGGCCTGTCACCGAGCGATCACCGCCAGCCAAACTCTGACCGGCAATAAGAGCCTGCCACCACCGCCAGCCCATCTCTGACCAGCAATAAGGCCTGTCACCGAGCGATCACCGCCAGCCAAACTCTGACCGGCAATAAGGGCCTATCACCGAGCGATCACCGCCAGCCAAACTCTGACCGGCAATAAGGCCTGTCACCGAGCGATCGCCGCCAGCCCACCTCTGACCGGCAATAAGGGCCTGTCACTGAGCGATCACCGGCAGCCAAACTCTGACCGCCAATAAGGGCCTGTCACCGAGCGATCACCGCCAGCCAAACTCTGACCGGCAATAAGGGCCTGTCACCGAGCGATCACCGCCAGCCAAACTCTGACCGGCAATAAGGGCCTGTCACCGAGCGATCACCGCCAGCCAAACTCTGACCGGCAATAAGGCCTGTCACCAAGCGATCACCGCCAGCCAAACTCTGACCAGCAATAAGAGCCTGCCACCACCGCCAGCCCATCTCTGACCAGCAATAAGGGCCTGTCACCGAGCGATCACCGTCAGCCCACCTCTGACCGGCAATAAGGGCCTGTCACCGAGCGATCACCGGCAGCCAAACTCTGACCGGCAATAAGGCCTGTCACCGAGCGATCACCGCCAGCCCACCTCTGACCGGCAATAAGGGCCTGTCACCGAGCGATCACCGTCAGCCCACCTCTGACCGGCAATAAAGGCCTGTCACCGAGCGATCACCGGCAGCCCACCTCTGACCGGCAATAAAGGCCTGTCACCGAGCGACCACCGCCAAACAAACTCTGACCGGCAATAAGGGCCTGCCACCACCGCCAGCCCACCTCTGACCGGCAATAAAGGCCTGTCACCGAGCGATCACCGGCAGCCCACCTCTGACCCGCAATAAAGGCCTGTCACCCAGCGATCACCGCCAGCCAAACTCTGACCAGCAATAAAGGCCTGTCACCGAGCGATCACCGTCAGCCAAACTCTGACTGACAATAAGGCCTGTCACCGAGCGATCACCGCCAGCGCAACTGGGATCGGCCATACATTTAAAAGGTCTGGCCAGCCCAAATAGGGTACATCTCATGAGCGTAAATATTTGATGCTCAATGCGTGCGATTTTCATGTCAATGGTCGGTTCTCTCGGCGCAGCCATGGCGCGTGAGAAATGGCGTCGGTTAACAGTAACTGTCGGCGCATTCACTGTGCATTCACAACAGCCAAATAATTGCGAACGCCTGCTGTCAGAGAGCAGCCACTACCACTGACAGGCTATTTGGCCGCGGGTTCGCACAATAACACACGTCGACACATTCCTTGAAAAATAGCAATGCCCGAAAAAAGACATTAACGTGTTTTGAAGGGTTCTGCGGGGCATTCATGATTCAACTGTCATACAACGATCTATGGTGACGCAGGTGTATTTTTGCATCTATAGGAAGTAGTGTGCAGGAAAGAAAACACGTAGCGATCAGAATACCTTGCCAAGCTTAGAGCATTTAAGACACATCATTATAAAAAGCATGAAAACCTCAACACTCCACACCGACAGCGTACGACAGAAAACTATTTACTCTCCAATTTTGAAAGGAGGCAGAAACGCGCGGTAGTTAGCCTAGAAACAATTCACAAAAAGCAAGCTCGACGCCCAATGGATTGCAAACTCGGTGTAAGTGCAATATAAGCGTACGGTAGGTTACAACTGTTTCCACGACCGTCATGGCCACACTGCTCCAGACCAAATCACTGGCCACGCACTGCTTAGGGCTAAGGCTCTTACCATCTGGCGTACCGAAGATAGTAAAACGCGCACACGCCTGCCTAGAATTCGGTTGCGTTCGGCAGAATAACCGGGTCTGCGAGATGACTGCAGAGCACCAACAGCTCAACACGGCCCGCTGGAAACACGGCGGGGGCGGCCGTCAGACAGCCACGGCCAGCGGCGCGCTCACAACGCCTAGCACTGCCGTGCTTTGTGCAAGCCTCTCAGCGGGCCAGCATGAGAAGAGGATTGAGAAGTCGACACGACAGCGCACTGGTCCGGGCGCCGCCGCGCCAGCGCCGCAGAGCGTACACGGCTGTCCCCGACCGGCCATCCGTGACACGCAGCGATGACTCCCTGACGCGCCCCGGGCTGGCCGGCACAGCGGCACAGCTGCGGACGGCTCGGCGCGTCGGCCCCGAGACACCCAGCACGGGCCTGCGCAGCGTCGGTAGCCCTGAGCTCCATCAATGTCTCGCCGCCTTACCACGGAGTGAGAATACCAGCCAGCCGGCCTCTGACTTGACAGCACAGGCCAGTCTCATCGTCTCCTAGCACACGCCGACACAGACTAGTCTCGCTGGCCTCTGACTCGGTGACGTCACAGGTCCGTGCGGCGACACTGACAGCGAGCCGTCACAGGTCGACCACGTCCAGCGTAACGCCCGACTCGGACGGGCCCGCCGGCGTCTCCGCCAGCTGCAGGATGCCTATCGGCTTGATCTGCTTCTGTAGACAGCAAGGAAGCCGTTATCAAGGACAGTGTCAATGTGCATCCTGGCTGTGTGGGTAAGGGTGCAGACGAATTACTCGAGCCACCGAACATCACTGTTCGGCGAACACGCGTGATCCCTTATCTTAGTACAGAAGCCGTCTCAGTGATCCGATCCCCGTCAGCTACTCCTCCTTTGATGACAAGCCCACGTCCCATTTTTGGAGAGCTTTTCCGCTATTTAGTGAGCTGCTAGGTTACCATTCCCCAAGCATTAGCGTGCCACAGAGACGTCTCCTGTGCGCTCATCCTCCACTCCAGTGAGAGAGGGATGGACAACCAGAAGACGCCTATCCCCCTACTCCCATGAGAGAGGGGTGGACACACAGGAGACGCCCATTTTCCACTCTAATGAGAGAGGGATGGACACACAGGAGACGCCCATTTTCCACTCTAATGAGAGAGGGATGGACACACAGGAGACGCCCATTTTCCACTCTAATGAGAGAGGGATGGACACACAGGAGACGCCCATTCTCCACTCTAATGAGAGAGGGATGGACACACAGGAGACGCCCATTTTCCACTCTAATGAGAGAGGGATGGACACACAGGAGACGCCCATTCTCCACTCTAATGAGAGAGGGATGGACACACAGGAGACGCCCATTTTCCACTCTAATGAGAGAGGGATGGACACACAGGAGACGCCCATTTTCCACTCTAATGAGAGAGGGATGGACACACAGGAGACGCCCATTTTCCACTCTAATGAGAGAGGGATGGACACACAGGAGACGCCCATTTTCCACTCTAATGAGAGAGGGATGGACACACAGGAGACGCTCATTTTCCACTCTAATGAGAGAGGGATGGACACACAGGAGACGCCCATTCTCCACTCTAATGACAGAGGGATGGACACACAGGAGACGCCCATTTTCCACTCTAATGAGAGAGGGATGGACACACAGGAGACGCCCATTCTCCACTCTAATGAGAGAGGGATGGACACACAGGAGACGCCCATTTTCCACTCTAATGAGAGAGGGATGGACACACAGGAGACGCCCATTTTCCACTCTAATGAGAGAGGGATGGGAGCCCGCGCCCGGAGACATCCATCTCCTGCTCCAACGAGAGAGGAATGGGCGCCCATGAGACGCCCATTTTCCACTCTAATGAGAGAGGGATGGGTGCCCGCGCCCGGAGACATCCATCTCCTGCTCCAACGAGAGAGGAATGGGCGCCCATGAGACGCCCATTTTCCACTCTAATGAGAGAGGGATGGGTGCCCGCGCCCGGAGACATCCATCTCCTGCTCCAACGAGAGAGGAATGGGCGCCCATGAGACGCCCATTTTCCACTCTAATGAGAGAGGGATGGGTGCCCACGCCCGGAGACATCCATCTCCTGCTCCAACGAGAGAGGAATGGGCGCCCATGAGACGCCCCTTTGGCGCCTTCA